AGTACAGATACCTTTCAGTGAAAATTACTCCACTACACGTTACAAGTCACCATTTCCAAAACAACTTGAGTAAAAGTCTTAAGAGTATCTGATTTTAACAGTACTTTAGTATTTTACTTATACTAAATATAGGCTCAAAAAAATGCACTAGTCAGACATGCCATTGATAAACTGTAATGCTGTGGAGAAGCTGGGGAAAAAGGCAGAAGCAAGCATCTATGTGTGTTCCTGAAACCACGCCTTCTTTCTTTGCACATTTGGGTGCATTATGCAAATATTTCCACATAGTGGGGTAGATATGTGGGGGCGTGTTAGAACGAGCCGTTTTAGGGGGGCGTGGCAGAGTCTTAACTTTGATAAAGAATATCTCTTTGGTTTTGAGACTTTAGTCTTTGCAACTTCAGGGATCTTATCTATGCACAATCAGCTTGTAACACTCCAAAGAGAAAGAAAAACTTGAAATCGCATCATATGACCCCTTTAAATTCTCCATATTCTCTTCCACATTAACACTAGAAAGGGAGTGTAAAATGTAGATTCAAGGTAAGCACTGATATTCTGCTGATTTGAGGAACACGGCGTACACGGCGTTAGGCATTGACCTTTAGATTTAATCCAGGATCATTAATGAGGAAAAAAAATTAACTTAAATGATTTTAGCAAATGGCTGCAATATAACAAAGAGTGAAAAATTTAAGGGGGTCTGAATACTTTCCGTACCCACTGTATGCATTTTGAAACATTTCGAAAACGTGCATGTGCATGATTAAGTGTTAAAATTATGACAACACAATTGTTTCACTCTACCATTTAATAATGGCAGTCTATATTTACATAAATACATTTACATTGCGATTAACACATTATTTTAAAAAATCTGTGCACACTGGAAATAGCTTTTATAACATCTCAAGATCTATTTAATAAAGATGCTTAATCTATTTGTTTGAAAAACTGTACAAATGAAATGTCTGTTTTATGTAACTTACATGTATTGTAAAAAAGGTAACTGTTGACAGCTCTCAGTTTGAAAGACCGCAAGCTTATTCTGTTTAGTGTTTTCATTCTGACATCAAAAAAGCAGATGAACTTAATAAATGTTGGCCCTGAAAGAGAGTGAAAAAATGCTGAGCATAAATATCTAGTATTTTAAAAAGACAAGTCAGTTCTGTAAATTTCCACTTGCATATTTTTATTCTATTCCATGCATGTCTTTTCATAACGTGTATGTCTCTTTATAACTATAGCATAAATATGTTGAAAAACATACAAAATACAGAAGCAGTTACCTTGAAAAAACCGAGATGGTCATGAGCCCCAGAACCAGCTCAAAGCTGTAGAAGCAGAGCAGCACAGCATTGAGCACAAACTCCAGCCGTAACACAAAGGTCTGCAGCAGCAGGTAGTAGACGCTCAGCACTGCACAGGGCACCAGAACAGCAACACTCACAAACAGAGCCAGAGAGCGCTGACGAAGACAGGAAGTGACATAAAAGTCCAGGGCAAGGCACAGAGAGCATGAAACACAAACAAGAAAGAGTTGATTTGTGAGGAGAGCAATCACGTTTATTTTCTAAAACCAAAATAAAACTGAACACCTCAAAATTACATAACAAAAACAAACAAAAAAACAATATCCTTCAAAAAGGTCTCTTTCTCAGCACTGCACAGGGCACCAGAACAGCAACACTCACAAACAGAGCCAGAGAGCGCTGACACAGGTTCCCCTTCCAGCCTGAAAGTCAGAATTCACAGGCCATTACACAACAAACAGTGTAATCAATCTTTTTTTTATCAACCTGTTACGATGACATTCATCCACTCATTGCCATAGCAGGGTTGAGAGGTTCAGAACTGAACAGAGAAAGTCTTTTAAATTCCAATTCAGTTCTCGGAATTGTAACAGGATTTAAACTGATGCTACAGCAAAAACATTTTAATCTGGAATTCAAGTTTGAATTCACGGCATTTAGATTCAAATTAAATGAGTAAAACAAGTAGTTTTTATTAAGTTACATTTTCATATGAATTACTCATCAACATATATATATATATATATTACTGCTGTCAAACGATTAATCACATCCAAAATAAGTTTTTGTTTACATATGTGTGTGCATATTTGTTATGTATATATAAATACACACACATGCATGTATATATTTAAGAAAAATATGTTACGTTTGTATAAAAAATATATTTATATATAAATTATATGAATATAAATATATACATGTAAATATATGTAATTTTTTCAAAATATATAGGTGTATGCATGTGTATTTATATATACATAATAAATATACACAGTACACACA